CCTTGACTATATTGTCGTTTGTGAGTACAACACCTACTTTATTTTTTATTTAAACATTTTTTTATGGTAATGCACTAGGCATGTGCGCCCTCTCTTTGTTCTTTCCCCATTTGGTCATCTTTTTGTGTCTTATTATGCTCCCAATTGCTTTTAGCACAAATTCTTCTCACATCTTTGTACTACCATTTCCCAACACTCCAAGGGCCGCCTTCTTCTTTTGGGAGATTCAAATGTTACCTTAGATTTTGCTCTAGATAGGCGCTGTGCTTGGGGGGCTCACAACTTAGCGCAGGAGGAACTCATGCACACTCTCCTGCAGTCTGCTGGGATGGCAGATGTTTTGAGGGAACTTCACCCGACTGAGCGCGACTTCACGTTCTGCTTGAATCCTCATAATAGTTTTTGCAGAATCGACCACGTATTTATGTATGTTCAACAGCTCCCTTTAGTCAGGCGGATATCTATCCCTTTCTCACCCTGGTCAGACCATGATCCCCTGGTTCTACATCTTACATTACATGGTGCCCTTTTCACTGGTGTATTAACAAGTCCTCATTGACCACCCAGGCCACTTGCCAGCAAATTTAATCTTCCATACGAACGTACATTATGGAGAACTCGGGATTGGTTTCTTTGGCAGTGCCCCTGTGGGAGGCGCATAAATCTACGGTGCAGGGTCACATTATACAGCTGGCTGTGGTTTGGGAGAATCATCTTTCGGACCTTCACTCTCTGCTAGCCTCTGCGCTCATTGGACGTCACGCTCGTCTGTGGCCCATAAACGAACATGGGAATGTGCTGACGGCAGAATTGGACTTACTTGCTTCTTCAGAGGCTGAATGCGCCCTGCATTGGACCAAACATAAATTTTATACCTGTGCTAATAAACCGGGTCTGATTCTGGCTAGGAAACTCAAATCCATGGGGAAACCCATAAAATGGACCGGCTGCGGCTCCCTGCGGGGATCTACACCTCCAATCCCCAGCAGCTCGTTTTGTGGACTTCCTTTCACACTTACAGTATATGCCAAACCAGATCTCTTAACTGTAGCTCAGGCGGAAGCATTCTTTCAAGATCTACAAATCCCTGGATTGTCCGAAGTGGCAGGGGTAGCCCTTTAATGAAGGTGTAACTGTATCAGAAGCTATCAGATCTTTACGGTCCACCATGGCCCTGGGTCCTGACAGCTTTTCAGGTCTCTATTACAAGACATTTGCAACCCTCTTGGCGCCTTTTTTTGGCTGATTATTTTTATGAATTGTGACAGGGTTCTTTGCCTTCTCCAGACGCGCTTAGAGTTCATATCTCAATGATTCCTAAGACAATGGAAGACGTTCAGGAACCGCATGCCTTTCGGCCCATTTCTCTTCTTAATGAGGATCTGAAGATACTGGGCAAGATTCTCAGTCTTCATATAAATTAATATTTGCAGAGTCTGGTCCACAGGGACCAAGTGAGATTCGTCCCAGGGTGGCAGGCATGTGATAATGTTCGTAAAGTTGTTCACCTTATACACCTTCTACAACAGAACAAAATTCTGGGATTTCTATTGTCTTTAGATATATACAAAGCTTTTAATTCCCTATCCTTTTGAATATCTGCGGTTTGTGCTGTCCCATTGGGGCTTTGGGGATTCTGTCCTTTTTTCTCTAGTATTCTTTTCCCCTGGCTTCGGTTAAGTATGTGGGGTATTTCTCAGATCCCTTTCCCATTTGGTGAGGGACGAGATAGGGATGCCCCTATGTCCTGGCAATAGAGATGCTGGCTTTAGTGCTCTGGGCGGATTGTAATATATTGGGTGTCCCTTACGCGGGACAGAAATTTTGCATTGAACCTTTTTGTGGACGATGCCCTTTGACTCTCACTAATCCATTGATGACGCTCTCAACTTACAATGGGTTGATTTCGGGTCTCCGTATTAATTTGGATAAGACTGTCGCTCTCAATATCACTTTGGCCTCAGATTTGGTTTCATTCCTGCAATCCCACGTCCCTTACAAATGGGCTTCCTCTTCCCTGGAATACTTGGGCATTCGCCTGACCCCCACCTATGGCTCTTTGTTTACTGCAAATTATTATCCATTGCTTCGCTCTGTGTCCTCCCTTATGCAGTCTTGGCAATTCCTGCACCTGTCCTGGATTGGATGGGTTAATTTGGTGAAAATGAGTGTCCTGCCTAAATTATTGTATTTTCTTACCGTCCCAGTACAGGTTTCGCATCATTTTCTCCGGTTACTTCAGGCGAGGATTATGCGATTTATCTGGGCTGACAGATGCTCCAGAGTCTCTATAGAAACACGCTTTTCACCAATAGACTGCAGGGAGGTGCCTAATGTAGCTAAGTATTACCAGGCGAGCCAGATTGCCCCATGTCTATGTTGCACGCTTCTTCTGATGTCCCTCTCTGGGTCCTTTTGGAACTACCTAACTGTGCCCCCATTGCGACATTGATGCTTTTTTGGCTCCCCCTGGCCCAACGTCCGAGGACATGGAGTCCCATTTTGCTCCATTGGCTACGAGTGTGGGACTCAAAACGCTACTCTAGTAACTTGATGTTGCCTTTTCTGCCCTTGCTTCTAATTATCAATAATCCTCTTTTTCTGCTAGGTTTAGATCAGCCAGGGGCATTTCTCTTGGTGGGTGGCCAATTGTTTTTTTGCAGGTGCGACACTTTTTGACCTCTGAATCCTTTCCCCACCTGGAACTCTCTTTGGGAATCACAGGATATCCCTCAGGCAGAATTTCTCCGTTGCCTTCAGTTTTGGCACTGGTTGATCTCACTGCGTGGCACTTCCATCTTTCCATATCAGAAATCAGCCTTTCAACATCTTTACCAACAGCGTCCGGGTGCCTCAGGTCTCGTTTCCCTACTCTATGCATCCTTGAATAGGTGCTCAATGTGCAATTCTCTATCATATGTTGTCCAGTGGGAGCGTGACTTGGGGACGGTCATGGATATGGAGAACTGGAATAAGGTCTGGTCCTTTTGTAGCTAAATGTTCATTTAATACAGCCACACTGGAGGCAGCATACAAAGTACTGTTTCGTTGGTATTTGGGTCCCAGCTTGTATAGCCCAGGCGAACCCTGCCTATAGTGATCGCTGCTTTTGGGGTTGCGGCCATTGTGGAGATGTGTTGCATATATGGTGGTCATGCCCGAGACGGATTCCTTTTTGGTCTCATGTCTTTGGCCTTCTTTGCTTCATTGTCCCATACCGGGCCTGTTGGCTCATCAACAGAAGTTGGCTTCCAATCTGTTTCTGTCAGCCACTAGAACAATTGCCAGGGCATGGAAGAGCCCGTTTATCCCTCCTTAGGGGGTGCGGGACCGTATGACCACTCTGATGCTCAATGAACAGATCTTGAGTATCCTTAATGACTCCCAATGAAAATTTTTTAAAATATGGAAGCCGTGGTTGACATATGCTTTTCCCACGCTTCCCCCCGGCTAGTCTGGGTTTGTGACTCGGTATTGGCATTCCCAAAGCCCTGCTTCTGGTCTTGTTTTCTTCTTCCTCCTTTACTCCTTTTTTTTTTTTCTCTTTTATGTTTGATTATGTGAGGCAATAGATATTTGCCTTTGGCTGGAAATTTTTGTTGGTGTTATATCACTGTTTCTGTATTTTATGTGCAATTGATGGCAACTACGTGGGCGTGCCTCTTGCATTGTTGGAGTTACAGTACTGTTCTCTTTATTTTTTTATGTACCACTGATAGCCCCTGCGTGGGCGTGTCTTTTTTCTTTAATCCTTCTTGTTAAATTGTTTACAAAAGTTAATAAAAACCATTAAAATACAAAATATTCTGGGTGAAATATAACTATTTTTATTGGTCTAAAAAAGCTTGTATAGAAGTATCCTAATTCCTTCCTCAACCGACCAAATTCCAAGGACGCTATGTTATTAAACTTAAGGGGACACTCTGTCTCATAAAATTTTACGACTTTCTTTGTATCCACATAAAACAGAAATATTTTATTTATTGTATGCATGTATGTATGTATGTATGTATGTATGTATGTATATGGGCATTGGACTTTCTAAATCTAAAAAATAAATAATTTTTTCTCCTTCAAAATTTTCTCGACCTCCACTAATATCCGAATCAGTTAAAAATATTTTTCTTACTAACATATATCTCCAACACTATGTTCTGCAGGTATTTCTCCTCTACATAATCCACAAAACATTCAGTGTTTTGGTATTTCTATATCTGAACACATAGGAACCTTAAGAATTATCTCTGAAATTATATACAGTGGTGAAAATAATTATTTGATCCCCTGCAGATTTTGAAAGTTTGCCCACTTACAAAAAAAATGAAGGGTCTATAATTTTTATCATAGGTGTATTTTAAATGATAGACAGCATATCAACCAAAAATCCAGGAAAGACACATGATGCAAATGTTATAAATGGAGTTCAGTGAGTAAAATAAGTATTTGATCCCCTACCAACCTTTATTGTGCTTCAGTTTAACCACTAGCCTACAGGGCACTTATACCCCCTTCCTGCCCAGGCCAATTTCCAGCTTTCAGCGCTGTCACACTTTGAATGACAATTGCGTGGTCATGCAACACTGTACCCATATGACATTTTTATCATTTATTTGAAACAGATAGAGATTTCTTTTGGTGGTATTTAATCACCTCTGGGATTTTTATGTTTTCTTAAACAAACCAAAAACCACTCAAAATTTTAAGTTTTTTTCTTAGTTTTTGTTATACAATTTTGTAAATAAGTTATTTTTCTCCTTCACTGATGTGCGCTAATGAGGCTGCAGTGATGGGCACTGATAGGATGCACTGATGGACACTGATAGGTGGCACTGATGAAGAGGCACTGGTAGGTTGCACTGATGGGCATTGACAGGTATCACTGATGGGCACTGAAAGGCAGCACTGATACATGACACTGATATATGGCACTGATAGGCAGCACTGACTGGCACTGATAGGCGGCACTGACTGGCACTGTTAGGCAGCACTGGTAGGCAGCACTGACTGGCACTGATGCGCACTGATAGGAGACACTGACTGGCACTGATAGGTGGCACTGTTTGGCAGCACTGAAAAGTGGCACTGATTGGCAATGATAGGTGGCACTGACTGTCACTGATGGGTGACATTGAAAGGCAGCTCAGATGGGCACTGATATGTGGCATTGATGTGCACTGGTATGCGGCACTGATGGGCACTGGCATGTGGCACTGATGGGCATTGGCACGTGGCACTGATGAGCACTGACAGATGGCACTTCTGGGGCCACACTGATCATCAGGGTACACTGATCATCAGTGCCCTGATGATCAGTGTACATGTCCCCTCCGCGGAAAGCCGATTACCGGCTCTCCTCTCCTCTCGAGCTGTCAGCGTGACCGGCCTATAACCGGCATTTCCGTGTTTACATGTGATCAGCTGTGATTGGACACAGCTGATCACATGACCGAGCCGACATCTTCGGCTCTTTCCGTGATCTGCTGTGTCCGAGGGATCGCCGCGCTGCGTGCTCCCTGAGCCGCGCATGCGCAGTGAGAATGGTAGGACGTCATATGACATCCTATCAGAATGAGAGAACCACCTTGCACCCGTCATTGTACTATAGGGCGGGCGAAAGGTGGTTAAAGTGTTTTGAAACCTTGATTGTCTACTGCCCTTTTTTATGTTGTTTATATGCTCCCCTATTCTTGTTCATTCCCTTGTGGTTCTGCCCATGCATTGGAGCCGACAGGGGCACTCCAAGAGATAAACGACATGAGAAGAATCACGAGTAATGCACTGTTTGATATCATACTCTCTTCCTGTTTGTAGTGAGGCAAATTTGGTCTTATTTTGTTTGCTTGACAAGCTTTACATCTATTGCATTTATGAAATCCCCCTATTTCAGAGAACATTTTTTGTTTTGTTTTTTGGAGGTTCTGCCACATTATGTACTATTTTTTTAATACGCAAAGATCTATTTTTTTATATATATATTTGTGGCTTCTTTGGAAGGAATCATATTTAATGCCTCATCTTTTAACAAAAAATTGGCTAATATTTTTCAGTAACCTTTTTTCAGTTTTTTTTTTATATTGAGCATTATAATCTGTGATAAATCCACAGGATATCTCTCTCCACTTTTTTGGTACCCTTTCTTCTTATCCCATCCTAAAAGGGAGTCCCTAGCTATTGAAAAAAATTAATTGGCATAATAATAATTTACAAGTTTTTAGTAGAGTGTCCCTTTTAATGTCAAAACATTTTTTTATGACATATGGAATTTTATGATTGACACATATTAATTCACGTTATAGTGATTGACAGAATTTGTTCACTGCACTTTATATGAAAAAATTGATTTGACTTTTATTTAATGGTTTTATTTTTCACAGAAAAAATAAGTTAGTTCATGGGATTATATATTAGATGAATTAATTTATTGCAATTGCATGTGTAGTGCTACCCTTGAGAATTTATTTAGAGTAGGTTGTTAATTTAATACAACAGGGAGGCAGCAGCATTGTTTGCACAAATTTTTGTGAAGGTGGTAAATACATTCAGAATTCACTGGAGTATATATAAAAAACACAGTGGTGCCCAAATCCCCGATTATTTTTTTTTTTTTCCTTTTCTTTCTTTTGTTGATTTAAGCCTTACTTGTGGTCTCCCAAGCACTTGTTAACAGATTTGTATATAGAATAAGTGCAGCGCTAAAAATAATCCGGACAGATTTATGGTAGCAATGTTCATAAATGGGTAGTTAGTCCACAATATAAGAGCTCAAAGGTGATATATTATTCCCACGGTCGTAGTTTGAATAAGACTCGGTGAGGGGCAGGATATGTATAAAATGCGCACTCACCGGAAGCGCAAAGAAAATGCGCAATGTATCAGCAAAACGGAGGTCTGCCAGGAGGTCCCTTTCAGGATACCAATGGAGCCAGCGCAGGATGGATGGACATCGTCTAGGTATATGTTCTCAAAACCGGAGGTCCACTTTAAGGACATGGGTGCAGCCTCTTCAGTACAGTGGAATAGTCACCAGGGGGAGCTCTGGGGGATTAAATGCTCAATGCAGAGCAACAGATGGAAATACCCATAGTGTAGTAATGTCAGAAACATTTAATGAAGGATGTTATGCAGCAGCAAACATATATATATATCCTCATACATGTAAATGCTGAACATGTGCCAAAAGCTGTATCAAAGCAGGAATATTGCAGCAACAAGTTGTTATGAGCACCAACCAGCTAGTGATCAAATGAGGCCGCCGGATCTCCGTGACCCGGCAGCGTGACATCAAAGCTTGCAGGCTCCTCCAAGACGCGTTTCGTACACTAGTATGTCTTCAGAAGGGGTGTGCCATTAAACTTAACAGATTATTTTTCTTCTTAGATGAAAATCATGCTTCCAATAAAACATTCATGTACTATGTAAATGATGGAATCCATTGCTCCTTCAACTTGATCTCGAGGGCTAAGACAGACATGGTCCTAGAAGGAAAAAAAAAGGTACTGCTTCCAAATGACTCTCCATTCTATACTATGTGTCCATTCACATATAGACTTTAGAAGCTTCTAGTAGCAGTAGTGTTTACAGCTGGAAAAAAACCCAGGGCCAGGGCGTCCAGGACCAGCAGCATTTTGGCAGAAAAAAAGCTTGACACGTGTTCCAGTGTTAATGAGGAGGCAAAGACTCAGCTCCTTGCACAGATCGAAAGGGCTGCAAGGGCTGGGATAGTGATAATAATGGGGGATTTTAACTATCTGGAAATTGCCTGGAGTAATGGTACTGCAGGGACGGTTTAAAGGACAAACATTTTTAAACCTACTACAGGACAATTTTATGGTACAGTTCATAGAGGCCCCAACTAGGAATGATGCTCTGTTGGACCTGGTAATCTCAAACCATGCAGAGCTTATTACGAATGTCCATATAAAAGAACATCTGGGTAGCAGTGACCATAACATGATTCCATTTATTGTTAGCTGTAAACAGCAAGCACATACGGGAAAAATAAAAACGCTCAATTTTAATAGAGCTAATCTTCTAAGGCTGAGGGCTGCTCTCCAAGACTTAGACTAGGAGGGAAAATTGGCATCAATGAACACAACACAGAAATGGAAGTTCTTCAAAAAGACTGTATGTGAACACACTGCAAAATACATTCCCATGGGCAGCAAGTTTAAAAGGCTAAAAATCAAACCTATGTGGTTTACGGCCAAAGTAAAAAAAAAAGCTATAGATAATAAAAAAAGAGCTTTTATTAACTATAAAAATGAAGGAACACTATCATCGTTTAAACATTACAAAGAATATAACAGATTATGAAAAAAGGAAATAAAGGCAGCAAAAATTGAAAACGAATAACAGATTACAAAAGATGGCAGGACCAACCCCAACAAATTCTTAAAATATATTCATAGTAAAAAGGTCCGGTCCAAGCATGTAAGCCCTTTACAAAATAATCTAGAGTGGGTGACTGGGGACAAAGAGAAGGCAAATCTATTAAATACCTTCTTCAGCTCTGTGTATACAAAGGACCATGGGGGAGCTCTTGTCCATAATGGGCATAGTATTGACACAGTTCCAGATGATCCACATTGGCTCACAATTGATATGATCCAAAAATATTTAGACAGAATAAAGGTGAATAAAGCACCTGGACTGGATGGCATACACCCACAGGTCCTTAAAGAATTGAGCTCTTTTATTTCAAAGCCATTGTGTCTAATTTTTAGGGACTCTTTAATGACTGGTATAGTACCACTGGATTGGCATAAGGCCAATGTGGTGCCAATATTTAAAAAGGGGTCAAAATATTTACCAAGTAATTATATACCTGTTAGTTTAACTTCTATAGTTGGGAAGATACTGGAGAGTTTAATAAAAGACCACATAGATGAGTTCTTGCTTGAAAAAAATGTTTTAAGCAACAGACAGCATAGATTCATGAAAGACAGACGTTGTCAAACAAATCTGATTTCTTATTATGAGGAGGTGAGCAAAACCTTGGACAGAGGGGTGGTGGTGGACGTGGCATACTTGGATTTTGCAAAAGCATTTGACACAGTTCCCCACACATGGCTAATGTGTAAGGTAAAGTATATACAGTAGGCTTAGAAAAATCTGTATGAAAATGGATAGAAAACTGGCTAAAAAATCGTATTCAGAGTAGTGGTTAATGATTCATACTCTGAATGGTCTAGGGTTGTCAGTGGTGTACCCCAAGGTTCAATGTTGGGACCCTTACTTTTTATTATATTTATAAACAATATAGGGTCTGGGATTAAAATTACCATTTCAGCCTTTGCAGATGACACCAAGCTGTGCAGTGGAATAACGTCCTTACAGGATGTCTCCAATTTACAAGCCGACCTCAATGCACTGTTTAATTGGGCAACTGTAGCAAGTCAGGTTTAATGTTGATAAATGTAAGGTTATGCACTTGGGGGTAAGAATATGCATGAATCATACATACTAGGTGGGTACAACTGTGGGAATCAATGGTGGAGAAGGATCTGGGGGTTCTGGTTGATCACAAGCTTAATAATGGCATGCAATGCCAAGCTGCGGCTTCTAAAGCGAGCAAAATCCTCTCTTGTATTAAGAGGTATAGACTCCAGAGAGAGAGATATCATTTTACCCCGGTACAAATAAATAGTAATACCTCATCTGGAATATGCAGTTCAATTTTGTGCACCAATTCACAAAAAGAACATTGGGGAACTGGAGAAAGTACAGAGAAGGGAAACCAAACTGATAAGAGGCATGGAGGAGATCAGCTATGAGGAAAGATTAGAGGAACTGAATTTATTCTCTCTTGAGAAGAGGAGATTAGGGGGGGATATGTTCAACATGTATAAATACATCAGTGATTCATATAGTGAACTCGGTGTTGAGCTATTCACCCTGAGGTCATCACAGAGGACAACGGGGCACGCTTTACGTCTGGAGGAAAATAAATGTAATTTCCAAACAAAGGTTTCTTCACAGTAAGGGCTGTGAAATTGTGGAATAGACTCCCTCTTGGTTCTGGCCAGCTCAGTGGATTGCTTTAAAAAATGCCTGGATTCTTTCTTGGATACACAGAATATAACTGGTTACTATTTATATGTAAAGTTGATCCAGGAAATATCCGATTGCCTCTCGGGGGGTCAGGAAGAAATTTTTTCCCCTGCAGGAGCAAATTAGATCATACTTTGCTGGGTTTTTTTTGATTGAACTGCCTTTGTCTTTTTTCAGCCAGACTAACTATGTGTTTAATGCTAGGGGCATTTAGTGCTTGAGCGTAATTTAATTTCAATGGCCAAAATAAATTCTTATTCTGGCCAATGAAATGAAATAATGCCCAAGCGCTTGACCCTTGTACACACGCCTAAATGCTTGTAAAAGTACTTTGATGTTAGGTGTTTTTCTGCCAAAATGCTGATGCCAAGAGGAGGAGCATTTCAAAAATGTCCTGTGTGCATGACGCCTTAAAAGCAACCTGTCAGATTATAAATATGGGGGACAGTTGGGGTCTGAGCTCACCTTTACTTGGCAGCAGTTGTCTTACCTCATGGTCTCCTGCAGTGGGGAAAATAATTATTTGATCCCCTGCAGATTCATACAAAGAAATGAAGGGTCTATGATTTTTATCATATGTGTATTTTAAATGATAGAGACAGCATATCAACCAAAAATCCAGAAAAAAACATGATACAAATGTTATAAATTGAGTTGCAGTTCAGTGAGTAAAATAAGTATTTGATCCCCTACCCAACCAACAATAATTCTAGCTTTCACAGACTGGCTATGTGGTACACAGATTAGTCCTGTCAATTTAAGAAGGTGCTCCTAACAGCAACTCATTATGTGTATAAAAGACACCTGTCCACAGTATCTTTCTTCCATTCACCATCATGGGCAAGACCAAAGCGCTGTCAAAAGGCATCAGGGACAAGATTGTAGACCTGCACAAGGCTGGAATGGGCTACAAGACCATCAGCAAGACGTTTGGTGAGAAGGATACAACTGTTGGAGCGATTATTTTGCAAATGGAAGAAATACAAAATAATCATCAATCACCCTCATTCTGGAGCTTCATGCAAGATTTCACCTCATGGGGTAAGGATGATCATGAGAAAAGTGAGGGATTAGCCCAGAACTACATGGGAGGAACTTGTGAATGATCTCAAGGCAGTTTGGACCACAGTTATCAAACAAACCATTGGTAACACAATACACCGCTATGGATTGAAATCTTGCAGCTCCCACAAGGTGTCTGGGATTAAACACAAGGTCCCCGCTGTCAAGAAGACACATGTACAGGCCCATCTGAAGTTTGCCAATTTAACATCTAAATGATTCACAGAAGGACTGGGAGAAAATGCTGTGGTTAAATGAGACCAAAATTGAGCTCTTTGGCATTAACTCGACACGCTGTGTTTTGGAGGAAGAAAAATGCTGACTATGACTCTAAGAACGCCATCCCTACAGTCAAGAACAGAGGTGGAAGCATTATGCTTTGGGACTATTCCTCTGCTAAAAGTACAGGCAGACTTTCTTGCATTGAGGGGCCAATGGACAGGGCCATGTATTGTAAAATCTTAGATAAGAACCTTCTTCCCTCAGCCAGAAACACTGAAGATGGGTTGTGGATGGGTCATCCAGCATGACAATGACCCAAAACACACCACCAAGGCAACAAACAAGTGGCTCAAGAAGAAGCACATTAAGGTCATGGAGTGGTCTAGCCAGTCTCCAGAACTTAATCCTATAGAAAATTTATGGGGGGAGCTTAAACTTTGAGTTGCCAAGCAACAGCCAAGAAACCTTAAGGATTTAGAGATCTGTAAAGAAGAATGGTCCAACATCCCCCTGAGATGTGTACAAATCTAGTAACCATCCACAGGAAATGTCTTACCTCTGTGCTTGCCAACAAGGGTTTCTCTATGAATTACTAAGTCATGTTTTGCTTGGGGATCAAATACTTATTTTACTCACTGAACTGCAACTCCATTTATAACATTTTTCTGGATTTTTGGTTGATTTTCTGTCTCTATCATCTAAAACACACCTATGATAAAAAAAATTATAGACCCTTCATTTCTTTGTAAGTGGGCAAACTTACAAAATCTGCAGGGGATCAAATAGTTCGCCCCACTGTATGGTATGTTTGTGGTCTTCTGGCAACCTCTGACCCACTTAACCTGAAGTCCCATTAAATGTAAAGCTAAATATGGGAGAGGAAATAAGATTACTGCATAAGCCCAAGGACCTCTCCCATTTCTTTTTCATTGCAGAGATCCAAATCAGATGAGAGACTTTACTCTAGCAGCATTTGGGGACCAACTTGTGATGGAACGGATCGCATTGTTGAACAATGTGACCTACCAGAGCTGCAGGTGGGGGACTGGATACTGTTTGAGAACATGGGTGCCTACACTATGGTTGCATCTTCTACATTCAATGGATTTCCAAGACCTACTCTCTATCATGTCATGTCAAGAGCACACTGGTAAGAAAAGTCATGATCTAAAGAAGCTATTAGATGAAAGATGATGTGGAGAGTGTATATCTGAAAATGTCTCTTCTTTCCTCAAAGGCAATTAATGCATATTATCCGAGAACATGGTATTGTTCCTGAGTTGCCAAGGCTCAATGGTGTACATGTTTCCTGTGCCTGGAAGAATAGAATGGAGCTGAATTCCATTGCTTGTACTATATAGTTGTCATTGTTTAGTGTATTTGTAATAGTAACTAATGTTAGTAGTTATATGTAACATCGGTTATTAGCAGTTCCTGTATTTGGATTACATTTTAAGACTGTTTTCACTTTTAGAGTTCAGCATTATTGCAACAATATGTATGATTGAGATGGGGTCACATTTATATGTACAGTTGTGTTCAAAATAATAGCAGTCAGACATCACTAACCTGATCAATCACTGTTTTTGGTAGAAATTATATTTCTACATGGCAAATAATTTACTAGCAGGTGTAGTGGAGTAATATAAATCCAACCGACCCAACAGTCATGACATGCATGCTGCTGATTCTGTGTAATTGAATCACTAATTGAAAGGGGCATGTTCAAAATAATAGCAGTGTGGAGTTCTATTAGTGAGGTCCTTCATTCTTTGAAAAACAGGTGGCAATTATTGCCCTTATTTAAGGAAGGAAGGCAGCAAATGTTGTACATGCTGGTTACAATGCATTTCTCTCTGAAATTCTGAGGAAAATGGGTCGTTCCATACATTGTTCAGAAGAACAGCGTACCTTGATGAAAAAGTTGATTGGAGAGGGGAAAACATATAAAGGAGGGCAGACAATGATAGGCTGCTCAGTTAAAATGATCACAAATGCTTTAAAATGGCAACCAAAACCTGAAAGACGAGGAAGAAAGTGAAAAACTACCATTGGAATGGATAGAAGAATACCCAAAATGGCAAGGACTCAGCCAACAATCAGCTCCAGGAAGATCAAAGAAGGTCTAAAGTTACCTGTGAGTACTGTTACAATTAGAAGACGCCTATGTGAAGCCAAGCTATCTGCAAGAAGCCCCCGCAAAGTCCCACTGTTGAAAAAAAGACATGTTCTGAAGAGGTTATAATTTGCCAAAGAGCACATTGACTGACCTAAAGAGAAATGGTGCAACATTTTGTGGACTGATGAAAGTAAGATTGTTCTTTTTGGGTCTAGTGGCTGGAGACAGTTTGTCAGACGACCCCCAAACACTGAATTCAAGCCACGGTACACTGTGAAGACAGCGAAGCATGGTTGCGCAAGCATCATGATATGGGGATGTTTCTCATACTACGGTGTTGGGCCTATTTATCGCATACCAGGGATCATGGATCAGTTTGAATACATCAGAATACTTGAAGAGGTCATGCTGCCTTATGCTGAAGAGGAAATGCCCTTGAAATGGGTGTTCCAACAAGACAACGACCCCAAACAGCAGTAAACGTGCAACATCTTGGTTCCAGACCAACAAGATTGATGTTATGGAGTGGCCAGCCCAATCCCCGGATCTTAATCCAATAGAAAACTTGTGGGGTGACATCAAAGATGCAGTTTCTGAGGCAAAACCAAGAAATAGAGAAGAACTGTGGAATGTAGTCCAATCATCCTGGGCTGGAATACCTGTTCACAGGTGCCAGAAGTTGGTTGACTCCATGCAACACAGATGTACAGCAGTTCTCAGAAACAGTGCTTATACAACAAAATATTAATTAAGTGATTCAAAGGAAAGCAGAATCTTCAAACATTTTTCAGTTATATAGTGAATGTTTGAGCTTGTAAAGAAGAATACAAACACTGCTATTTTTTTGAACAGTCTAATATTCACTTTTCTTCAATTTTTTAGAGGAACAACACAAATTTGATATATATTTCTTCATGTTTTGATTTGTAATAGAATGTGTAGTGTTCCCAATGCATTTGTGTGTATGGAAATAAAAGCTGTTAGAGGGATTTTGAGCTTTATTCCCTTTTTTCAACACACTGCTATTATTTTGAACACAACTGTATTCCTCTGGAAACTGTTTAATAGTATAGCTTTTATTCCCCTTTTTAATTGCAATATTGATGGTATAAGATGTGCAGCTGTTCCTCAAGCATTTTGTAACCTATGCACTAGGAGACAGTAATTGGACCTGTTTTTACATAGTAAAGTACTGTATGTTAAAAAAAAACAAGTGCTGGCTCAAGGCTGTGGGTTACATGGCTTCCAAAAAACATCATCGATTACAGTGTTTTGGTTTGCAACAAGTACACAAATGAGTTATCATTATTGGCCTTGGTTAAAAGTGTTCTGAGAAGTTCAGAAATAAAAAAAAATTTTTATACTTACCTAGGTGGATGCAGTATTGGTCCAATGCTGCATCTGTCCCCAACAGCTTCTAAGACCGAGAACTGAGCAATCAAAGACTGCTGTTTGCTCAGTTCTAGGTCTTCAGTGAGCAGAGAGCCAGTGAGTGTCGGTCAAGGGCTCAGTGCTCTGCACCTCCAGTGCCCACTGGAGTTCCAGGCTGTGGAGGAAGCAGGAACGGTTGGACTCAGGCTCTCAGCAGCTCACTGAGGGGCTGAGCAAGCTGCCAGTCCAGGCACCTGGGTGGATCCCAAGATTAAAGTCAGGATAGCATATCCCAGAACTTATGGAGAAGGCCTGACAGGAAATCCTTCCCCTACAAGTTCCCATAGTTCTCTTTTAGGAATAAGGTTGTCCAAACCAAATTTCTTTATTTGTCATATTATACTCCCTGTCTCCTTTTTTGTTAGGGTAAGCTATACTTTGCTGTTTATTCTACATGCTCCTCTGCGGATGGCACGTTCTACCATATGGTCAGGTATGGAATGCCTACCTATTAGAGTATTTTGGTCCAAGGTCGCTGATTTTATTAGTTTGCCCAACATTTGTAATCCATTATGTTGGATATTCAGCTATATTAAAGTTGATGCTCTCCCTAACTGTACCAAGCTTTTCTTGAATTTAGTTTGATTTTATGCCAAGAAATCTATAGCTGTTCACTGGAAATCACAAGCTCCCCCTGCTGTGACCTCCTTGTCTCAATTTAGTCAATCAAGTAATCCCACTATACAAACTGACAGAAAATTTCTCAGGGCAACCCCTGGCTTCTTATAAGATTTGGGACTCATGGGTGAGCGCTGAGTGTACTGTACCACCTCATACTTTGAGTATTGTTTAGGACCAGGACCCACTTATCTTTGATTGTTACAAATGTATACATTGTCTGTAAGATTACAGCCCAAAAACCATCCTTTTTTTTTTGTCATTCGGGATTCCTGGTATCCTGCATATTTTGTGCTCATTCGTGTTGGTATTCTATATACAGTATTGAATGGACATTCTGTTTTTTTTTCTGTGTAGCGCTACCATCTAGATGACTGCTGAGTTTTGGGGTCCCTCTAAGCTCTGTGCAGCCAGGCAATATGCATTTTCCACACTTTCTTCCAAAGTTAGTAAACAGTTCATGAACCTGGTTTTTATTGTTTTATTAGGGGTTAACAACTTGGATGGGGTTTAGGGGTATATGGAATGCCCAATGGAACTGAACAACCTAGAGGACCAACGTCTCAGGCAAAGTGGCAAGAATCCAGAAAAAGGCACAAAATAGATCCTAGGCTCTCTACTCCTTCAGAAGTGGGACTTCCTTTCTGACAGATTAGCACACAGTAGAGGTCATTCTTTCCAGCTTCCAACCTGTAGGCTGGGCCCCCTCCTCAAGCTTTCCACCAGCAGCACCTCCTCATTCGATCTTCCACCCGACTCCCTTGCTGACCATGCTGTCTTCAAGTTAAGGGCTGACCTAGCCACCATGCCAGGCTTCCTGCCTGGGGATTGGCCAAATTAAGTATGCAGATCAGCTCCTCCTCACCCACTGCTTCTAGAAACTTCTTCTCCAAGTTTCTAGAGAAGGGGGTGGGATCAGAACTGACCTGTAGAGCCCTTCAGCCTTAACCTAAAGTAGCCTCTCTGACTCACTCTCAGGCCGACTCATACCCAGGCTTCTAGCAAGCTGCTAACTATGCACCCAGATAAAAACAAACACCTGTGCACTAAAGGCAATTACATCTGTATTATACCTTATCTCTATGTGAGTAATGTTTGCCTTTTTATTTTGTACTATTCAATTTTGTACACAATAAAGTTATCTTAAAAAAAAAAAAGACAAACGTTGTGATCTTTCCAGAGTCTGGATCAGCACAGTGATGTCAGCCAACAACAGGATTTAACCCGCTGTCAGGTGAGAACAGGTCACATGAGTGCAGAACGAAGTGCACTCCTATGACTCACAGGAGAAGTAGGGCCAAAAGAGCTTTGGCCCTACTTCTGTAATGTGTTTAATAAGGTATTGTGTATACACAGGATTTCATTTGGTAAAATCCGCTGTGTACTTTTGCTACAATTTTACTTGTGACATGTGCAACATACTGCCATATGCCATTTCCTACTGACTCCTCGGCTAAACTGCTGTAGTAACTTACTGCAAGCAAACAGCACAGACGATTGGAGCATTAAGCTACATCTTCACTCTTCTGATACTGAAATCATACTTGGTGCTTAGCTTCTGTCACATTAAACTGATAAAATATGTGGGAATTTAAGGTGGCACTAAAGTCCCGCTTTTAAAAACTGCGAGCAAACACCTGCATGCTGTGATGACTGCACTGTTGCACATGTGCAGGGGTGACATTGTCCCACACTGTTCAAATACGGCCACAGTCTGGCATCTGGAGGAAGCCAGGTAGAAGATGACGTTGATCAACGAAGGGACGTTGGACTGTTGAAAGAAAGGTAAGTCTTGCAGAGTTTAGTTTCGCTTTAAGATGTTTGCATCATTAAAATATGTAAATTAAACTTGCTTACATCATACTGAAAATGCTAGCAGCCTGGCGGTCGCTGGTTTAGGCACTTTTACCTGCTTTTGGGTCATTGACTCAAAAACAAATGAACAATTAACAAAATTTTGACAAAAGTGAGTTTTATAGAACATTTGTTTAGCTCATTACATAAATGTAAGGTTAATCAAATAACTTGGATTTCAGTTTTACTCAAATTTAGTTGATGCAAAAATGAATACACCCCACAACAAAAACTACTACATCCAGTATTTTGTATGACCTCCATGATGTGTAAGGACAGCACCAAGTCTTCTAGGCATGGAATGAACAAGTTGGTGACATATTGACCCTG